AAACACCCCAATAAATCAGGGCTTTCTTTTTCTTTGCGGGTGCCCTGCCCGGGGGGAAGGGGCGGGGGTAGAGATCGGCAAGCTGCTCCGTGAGAGGCGGGGGGGGGGGGGGCAGGCGCTGCAAGGGAATCGCATATTGCGTCATTCACTTGCCACACGACAACCAAGCCACCCATCCCAGCACCGCCTTTTCCGGGTATCGGAGTTTCTCCCGACGTTGTTCGGTTCTGGTGTCCATTTCCGTTTTTGACGGTAAGGGGTGCGGTTACCAGCAGGCGGTGACTCCATCGCCGCACAGAAAAACGATGGTATCATGCAACAAGGAGTGGCCATGCCGCACGTCCCCGCCAGCCCAGCCGTGTCGCACGCACACAGCAACAAAAACAACACAGCAGAGCACCAGCGCGTCGCTCCCGAGAGCAAGCCGGTCAATCACGCCAAGAGCACGTCCACCACTAAGCAGCACTTTCTACGGACTACACAAAAAACAACACCGCTTCTCCGATGGAAAAAACAAAATAAAACAAAAAATAACCAACCTCGGCGAACTTCTCGGCTAGGAGACCCGCGGCAGCCTTCCTCCCGTAGGTCAGGAACGGAAGCAACCTGGAAACAGCCTGCGCTAGGGCCGGGGTCCGCCCCAGGACGTCGATCAATGCCGGCTCCTGATTGGTTGTGTGTGTGTGTGCGTGGTGTGATGTTTCGTGTCATGCCACGATAACATAAGCGGGGGGGGGGGGGGGGAGGGTCAGCAGCCAGGAGAAGAGAAGGTCAAGTGACGCCGGGCGCCCATACATACATGCAAGGGAGAGACATGTGAAAGGACGGTAAGTGAGAGCCAGGAGAAGAGAAGGTCAAGTGACGCCGGACGCCCATACATACATGCAAGGGAGAGACATGTGAAAGGACGGTAAGTGAGAGTTTGATACCTACCAAGTTCGACACACACCAAAAACCTCCGTTCGACGTTCTAGACGGGAAGCAAGCGGATGCTTTCCTCCTCCGATAGAAACGACCCGCCACAGCGGTGAAGCCCTAGCGGTCCAGCGAGTGGCTCGAAGACGATGCTGTTCCCTTGCTGCACTCATCGCCGCTGATCGGCCGCACAACAACGCCAACCATACACTTCACGCTGCGGGTTCCGGCATGCCATGCCGTATCTACTTACCTCGAGGGCCTCAAAGAGGAAGGACACGTGCTTCGTGCTCTCCGTCTCCCGCTGCTCGCGCTCGTCGTCGACTTCCACCGCTGTCCCGCCGCGCTCTCCGCCACCGCCACCGCCACTGCCGACGCCACCTTCGCCCCCGTCCGCAGCCGCAACGTCTTCGTCCACGTCCATCGCGCCACCACCACCACCACCGCCGCCGCTGTCGCTTGCGCCATCGACACCCTTTGTCGGCAGAAGATCCCTTCCCCTCAGCAGCAGAACCAGCGGCGGCGTCCGCTTTCTCCTCTCCGCGATCGCCGCTGGGGCCTACGTCCAGGGTGACGGTTCTTGCGACATCCTGTTCGGCAGCAACCAAGAGGGTTTGGTTGGGGGGTTTGGGGTCGGTTCGAGTGTATAGACGCCGTTGTAACAAGGAACAACTCATACTGGTATATGACCTAAATAATGAACCATAGAAAGGAGTGCGGACAGGGCACGAAACGAAGGACTGGCACACGAAAGGGGGCGACTTCAACGCACACGTTAGAGAGACGTGACATGGGGGGGGGGGGGGTGTACTCATAGTCGTGCATGCCGTAGTCATTAGACCATTGACCTCGCATCCCTACAAAGCCGGGACGGAGAACGCCGGGTTCTCACCGGACCAGGCTCTCACATCACCAAGCGCGAAGCGCCGTGAGGTATTTGGCGAGTCGCATGAAGGGTGAGCTGCATCCTGCTAAGGGTGTTCGGCATCTTGTGCTTACTTCCTTGCGTACGGATGACAGCTACGTATGACTTAATTTATTGTCTGGTGCTTTCACTTCCAGAGACAGTTGTAAGCACTGTGTAACTGCCTCGAGGAAGCTTGACCATTTTAATACAACGTGGTGCGATCATCCTCCTTGCGCGGAGTGAGGTTTCTCCACCCCGCACAACATGATCTACTCGACCACCATTATGGTTACCGCCAAAAAAAAAAACGAGGAAAAAAAAAAAAACGGTAACCTGGTTGCCGAGTTCACGAAGTGAATTGGCTTCTTTTACAACGTCGTTGCCAAGCGACGAAAACCCAATCCCGATGGCAAACACAGAGGGGGGGGCTTGTTTTACAACATCGTTGCCAAGCGACGAAAACCCAAACCCCGTGAGGGGGGGGGGGGGGGTGAGGTTTCTCCACCCCGCACAACAATGT